TTATAGATGTTGAGGGTAGGTATCTTGGCACGGTAGCTTTGGTAGTGCTGAACAGTATAATGATGAAGACACAGATCAACATCAAGGTTTTCATCCTCGTTACCTTTTGTCTAGTAGTTGTGTCTGAAATAAGAGTTTATCATTTATCTAAATCTTTGTACATTCATATTATATAAAATTGGTAAATCTCTAAGCTCCGTTTTTTAAAGATTGATAGGTGCGAAAAAATATTTTAAATTCTAACTGGTTCTATATCTATGTTTGTTCTTAAGTGTTCTTTTCTCAATTGTTAAAATATACAACAAAATTAGACATTGATGCTAAATGCAAATCACAATTTTAAGTTAACTTTGTACTTGTGTGTATGAACATAGCACTTGCCGTTCTGTTAGCTCAATAAAATGCTGAATTGCGATACATGTTTAATACTGTGCACCATGCCATTTTAAGACGTAAAACTTGTATTCCCTGTCTACTTGTAAAACAGTTATTTGTTTGTTACTCATGGACAGATTTTGTGATGAGGACAAAAAAAATGTATCAGCACTAATATAATGAACATATTTAGAACACAGCAGATTGCACAAAACACACAGTCACACTTGGTGGAATTAAAGTCTGTGATATGTTACCACTATGGGGTTATATCAAATAATATTAAATTCCCTTCTTAACACATCCTCTCCTCCATGACAAATCTGAATGAAATTATTTAAAACGTTTAAAAAAACATACCTGTAACCAAAGTTGCTGCTTTCAGCTTCTCGAGCACGTGTAAAATGGGTTAGCCAAAAGTCATAAGACGTAAGTCACAAATCAAAAGTCAAAAGTCGAAAGTCAAAAGTAAAACATCCGTAAGTCGAAACTCAAAAGTGACCCTCCAAGGCTTCCATAGAATAAAAATAAGTCGACATAGCGCAAAACATCTCACCAATTGTAGGCCCTGATACGCTTCCGTAGAAATTCTATCTGAAAAATGAGCCCATTGAAGACATATCCACTTAAATAAGTTTATAACGAAAAGTTTTATTGCAATTATTTTTAGTTGATCTATGAATTTCTTCCACTCAAGGTGTTAAGACGAGCTAAATATTGGCGTAACACTACAAGCGCGTCAACACGGCCAATGTAAAAGAGATTTCAATACGCGTAAAATTTAATAATGGGAAACTTTGTGTGCAAGTTATTGTAAGGACTTTTAAATGAAATTATTTTATTAATAGATATCACAAAGGAAAAAAAAATATATTGCGTTGGCGGACGCATGACATCAATTACACTAAGCACTTTGACATTTAAAGTCAATACGTTTATAATGGAAGGTCTACTTGTAATAGGGTTTGTAGGCGAACAGCATGGATCCTGATCAGACTGCGCGGATGCGCAGGATGGTCTGGATCCATGCTAGTCGCAAACGCATTACGTTGGTTTTGTCGTGACGCGGCTCATATTGTGTTTGGTTCTATTTTGGCGATCCGCCTACCTTACTGGCTTATCTGGATAACTAACAAGTAATTTTCAATTTCTCCGGAAAGTGACCGACTTTTAATCCCACACGATTAATAACCATTAAAATTAATGACCGAGATCATATTTACGGAGGAATATTATTCAACAAATGGGCTGCGTCACGACAAAACCAACATAATGGGTTTGCGACCAGCATGGATCCAGACCAGCCTGTGCATCCGCGCAGTCTGATCAGGATCCATGCTGTTCGCTTACAAACCCTATAACAAGTAGAGAAACTGATAGCGAACAGCATGGATCCTGATCAGACTGCGCGTTAGCGCAGGCTGGTCTGGATCCATGCTGGTCGCAAACCCATTATGTTGGTTTTGTCGTTACGCGGCTCAAATATTACTTTGTTCTAACGAATGGCACATTTTTTTCCTTGGACTGACGAGGACGACCATCACAATGGAGTCTTTACCTGTTTGTACTGTACTGCTGTTAGCATACCATCTTGGGTTGAGATTTTCGAAAGAAAAGAAAGAAAAGGGAATTTATTTGGTTTAAATGCGTGTAGTAGGTCGCAATGGGATCACAATTTCAAGTTTCTGTGATTGTGAGTCAATTTGCTTAAATATTGAAGTAATAAATGTGTGGAGTCGTTTTTATATATACGAGTATATATTTAAAAAGAAAACAAAAACGCTCTATAATTAGAATTTAAAAAAATCGAAGACATTATATTGTTTTTAAATTAAAACCTGTAGGAGGTTCGATTTATTTTTCTTTTTCTCCCATTAAATAAAGTTTTAGGAAAAATATTGAGGTAGAAAATCGGATGTTAAACTCTTTTACCAAAAGAAGTTGTAACTCGGACAAAAGGCATTGAATAGTAACGCAAACATGTAGCTATTTTGACAAAAAAAAACAACCAATATATCAACAATTAGCAAATACAATTGAAAGTGAAACAATTGATTATTACTCGTTGAAATTAAGTTAATGAACTAGATAAGCCGGTCCCGTTTAAGTGAACAAAAGAATGAAAAGCGTTGCAACGCTTGTCTCTCAAATTGGGCTTTTAATCGGACAAAAATCACTATTTATTTTCAAAGCTTAGTATATTTTTCTGTAAGTCTTTGCAGATTATTCCATTTTAAGTGCTTCACTTGATATTTGTTTGAACTTTATGTTTTTATGCTTTTTGAACTCAGTGGAGCTCCTTTGAGGTACGTGCTGTTCAACCTTGAACCGCTGAACTTTAAAACCTCACTTTAAAGGGTTTTTAATGGTTGTCGATGATATTCTCTAAGCTTGTACATATCTTTATCATTTGAATAGACGATATTGATATTTGATTCAATGTTAATTAATGTTCTTAAAGAGTAATTACATTTTTTTCCAAAGTTAATTCATACTTGTAACCTCTTAATGATCAAATACAGAGTTACCCATCAATAGTCTTCGTAAACAAAGGTGACGTTTCCAATCATTTGTATTTTAAGGAAGAGCATCAGTGCCAGATCTGTGTTTTTTTATTAACTCGAAATTTCAAGTTAGTTAACTCGATATTTCGACGTACTAACTTGAAAGTTTGAGTTATATGACTCTAAATTTCGGCTTAGTAACTCAAAATTTTGATTTGTTAACTCGAAATTTCGAGATATCAGCTCGAAATTTCGACTTACTTTACTCCAAATTTCGACTTATTAACTCGAAATTTCGACTAATTAACTCGAAAGTTGGACTTAGTAACTCGAAATTTCGACTTACTAACGTGAAATTTGACTGAATTACATTACTAGAATGGCCAAAAAAGTTATGAGCTACCAAGAGTTTAGATAATATAAGATATAGTAGGGAGGTGATTCTACGATGGAGATGGAGAACCAAAAGCGTTTGTGTAAAATCCCGGATTTAGCAATAATGAAATACTAAAATGCCTTGCATCTCAACACAGGATTATAATAAGCATGATATCTTTGAATAGAATTACAAAAAAGTGCGTCTTCCATCTTCATGCCCCATGGACATTGACCTTTGATTGAGTGATCCCTAAAATAAAAGGGATCGTCTACTCCATAAGCCCTGCCAACTTATGAAGTTTGAAGGTTCTAGGTTTTTCGGTTCTTCAGTTTTTGATCGGAAATGAAGTGTGACGGACGGACGTACATGGCAAATCAATGCGTCTCCCCAAGTAGGGTGCGTGGTGGGACATAATTATCATACATCTGAACTCTTGTTCATATTATATTAACTGGTTCAATATAGGAACAGATTAATCATTTGATAAGTACTTATTACAAGACCTATAAAACTACCTTATAATGAAAATAAGTCGAAATTTCGAGTCAATAAGTTGAAATTTCGAGTCAGTAAGTCGAACTTTCTAGTAAGTTAGTCGATATTTCGAGTTAGTTAGTCGAAATTGCGAGCTAGTAAGTCAAAATTTCGAGTTAGTTACTCGCAATTTCGGGTAAGTAACTCAAAATTTCGAGATGCGGAAGTCGAAATTTGAAATTAGTAAGTCGAAATTTCGAGATAAGTAACTCTCAATTTCGAGGTAAAAAAACACACACACCTGGCACTAATTCTCTTCCGTATATCTAGGATAGGGTAAAAAAAATCTAAACGATTTCAGCAAATTTAGCTAGACTGGTCAAAATCTCCAATCAAATCTTAGATGTACCTTTTAAGCAAGCATTGAGAAAATTTGAAGCTTAATGAAAAACTTAAACATTCATAAAAAGTTCACAACGTGTGATGTAAACGTGATTTCAGATCTTTCTGAAGAGACACAACTACAAAATTTTTAATCATCTAAAATTTTTATACATTTGTTTAAGCCATTTCCAAACCATCCGGATGAACTCTGAAAGAAAACGGGTCCAGATAAAAAATAAAGATCGATTATACAAGAAATATTGAGGCAGATGGTATACAGATGGTACATGTTAAATCTTTCATGGATGTTTTAAAACTAATTTGGATCATACGCCCATGAGTCTTTGGTCACCCTGGTTTCGTTTATTATGATCAAGATATAAAAATTTCCCAGCTTATGCATTGATAATTTCTAAACATGATGTCATTAATTAATTAATTAACAAATATTCTTTTTCAATCGATGACATTTCAAACTGAACCACAATGACTTGAGACACTTTTCGATTTTATGAAACGCCTCTATAAAGGCAACAGACGTCACTGTAAAGACAGCAAGCTAAAATACTCCCGTCTCAATATCTGACCCCTGCTGTTTAGACAATTATAAACACACGGCAATGCGTTTTAAATTATCTTAGAAAAAAAATCAAATAAAGCTTTTGCAGAGCATGTAAACAAAGTATAATGATTAAATACGTACGTACAATTTAAAAAACTTTCATTTTGTTATAATCGAGGTACTGGTCTTTTGTCTAAAATTGAGAAAATTTATAATTCAGCTTGGCAAAATAAATATTTACAGTTGCTATCTGAGGCGTGGGTCCTGTAGCATGTTCAGTCACAGCTGAATTTCCGTGTGATATTTTTACAGAACTCTCGTATACTTGCTTAAACGATAAATAAAAGTGCCTATTAAAACGGACTTAGTTTCCAATTTAATCAGTCATTCATTGTCCTTGAAGAGTTGTTTCATTTTAAGTTAGAGAGTCGTTATAAAACGAGATAAACATAAAAAATAATTTTAAATCGGAGAAACAACACAAAATGAATTCAGATGGTAAAATAATCAGATTTGTACTTTTATTATTTCTGTGCGAGTCTTATCTTTGTATTACAAAAGATAACGACTTTTGTTTAGAAGACGACGCTGTGATACATAGGATTTTAGATTTATCTTATGTGCAATGCCAAGAAGAATGTGGTAAGAGGCGACATTGTAAAGCAATCAACTACTGGCGGTCATTTAACCTGTGTGAGCTACTGGGGACAAATCAAGGTAGTAAAGGAACTAGTGTGCCAAGGAAAAAAGCTTGCTTATTTTTGAAAAAGACAGATATGCTAGATACAATTGTAAGTTATTTTCTCTTTTCTTGTACCAGTATTTTTTTTTTATAATTTCTATTCATTTGTTTCCATAACAACGATTGTGAGATATAACACCCCTTTGCTTTATGGCAATTATCTAATCTTTGAGATAAACATTTTTAATTTCAAATAAAACGTTTGTGTTATTATTTGTTGTCATACTTTGACGGAAATTCTGAATTAAAATCTTTTGATATGCAATTTTTCTGCGCCTTCTGTTAAGTTCACACATTACCTTTTTTTGTAAAAAAGCAATTGACGAATCTTGCCGAATATTACCTAGTGGACTACTTTGACTTTAGTACATGTTTTCGTGGCCGCCTCTTCAGTTCAAATACAATATAGCTTGCCGGATGCACAAGTATATGTATACGCCGCAACACTACAGTATAGGCTATATGGCGACTTTCCAGCTTTATTGGTGGAAAAATAACATGTAGATTTATGTACTTTTCCTGTTGCCATGGCAAACGGGGGGACGTCTCAAAAATACTTTTACATTATATGTAATTGTCATGAAGCTTTTATTTTTATGTTGAAACTTTTATTTTCACAGATAAAGGGATGTAATTGTTCCGAGGATTTGACGTGCGACCCCGAAACAAAGACATGCGCAGTGACTGGTTAAGTAAAAACTGCTTTTTTAAGTAAATTGATTTGTTAAGCAGGCAGTATCTTCTCATAATTAAAGAGAGCTTGTTTGTTTGTTTGTTTCATTTTACGCCTTTTTCAACAGTATTTCAGTCATATAGGCGGGTAGTTTCCTAACCATCGTTCCTGGAGAGTTACACCAGTACTAGACAACCTTCCTCCGCGCTAAACTACCAAAGCATCTCCCGGGGATCGAACCCTCGCCAGAGAGGTACCTGGATTAGAAGTCATCGACTCTAACCCCTCGACCACGGAGGCGGTAAAAGAGAGGCCGATTTAAGTCTTTTAAGTGTTGAATTTTAAAGTATTTGTGTTGATTGCCTGCCTCTGTCACTACTTATGGCACTATTGATGGTAAATACTCTGTCTATCTACATTGATGCTATTCTAAACATATTTGGTTACATCTTCAGAAATGGTATGGATATTATAGCCGATTATATTTAGTTTATACAGGAGTTATGTTAGTTTCAGGTGGAAAGAAGTTTTCAGTTTATAGACGAATGGGTTTCTGGAACCGACTACAAGTAAGCAATGGGAGTAAAACTTCTTGCTCAGGGAGACAACAGCAGCGTGTCCCTAATGGGGTTTGAACCCTAACGAGGTTTGAACCCTAACGGGGTTTGAACAAACGGGAGAGAGCAGATCTGGAGTATTAATACGCTGTGCTAAACACTCGACGGCGTCACTACAATTTCATTACTGATAATTAAATTCAATTTATAAAGTTTAATAAAAAAGCATTTTGTCTTCTATACATTTCTATTTGATTAGAATATTTAGAATTAGTTTGAAGAAATAAATATTATCGCAGCAAAACAATATAGATATATGTAGAAAAAAACTTTGTATAAAATTAAGAAAAATCCTATAATTTTTTTTATTTATTCATTAGAATGTTCGAAGATTACATTAACCAATGGTCAACTATTTGGTAACATGTATTCCGTTGGTTCACGCGTAAAATTCATATGTAATCCGGGATACGTTAAGGCGACGAACGAATTCAATTCTGTTTGTGAAGCATCTGGCCAATGGTCAAGCCAGCCAAATTGTTTTAGAGGTGAGTTCACATTATTTACATCTTTAAAGATGGTTGCAAATACCTACCAACATGAACCCATGCGAACTTAAAAAACTATTCTCTATTCCACACAAGAAGGGAGAGAGCTGTAATTTTAATTAAGAAATGTAATTTTATATTATATCGTTCTTCTCAAGTTTTGAGATGCCATTTGCATGGATCTCGTGATCAAATTTATGCCACCATCTTTTTTATTCAATATTTTCATTGCCCAATTTGTTTCATAGTAATGTACTTTGTCTTAAACATACTGCCTATGCTTTTAAATGGCGTTTCGGTACGCAGTTCCTGCTTTTACAGGCTCGAGAGTTATCAAGACAAAACTAAAATAACGGAACACGCGAAATGGTGTAAAAGTGTAACATTTCTTATGTCCCTACCACTAGTTTACGCAGAATTCATACATAAACATGATTTTCTTAGTAAATTGTTCACTATGAACAAGGCAAAAAGCATATTGATACCATTACATGATTTTCCATAAGGGTGCTTTTGTTTTATTCAATATATTTTCCATTGTTTTTATACATTATTTTATTCAAATCCAAAGATACGGTTCATTCAAGCCATGGCTTACCAGATATTAATGAAAAGCAATAAAGCTTTATGTTTTCTTGTCTTTTTTATAATCACTTACTACAACTGATCTGCTCAAAATGACTAATTGAAACAGATCATTTTTCTAAAATCATTGTAAAGGCTTGTGCTTAAGGCAATCACAAACAAAAATATAATACAAAAGCAGCATTTATATGAATAAAAGTAACATTTCCCTCTAAAATCAGATTGTGGAACTGTTCCAAGCGTTTCAAACGCTCAGGTGATAAGCGGTGGTGGTTTAACGACAGAGGGCGCAGTTGTACGTTACCAGTGCCTACCAGGCTTTACTTTCAACGGCAATCAGAGCAACTTGACATGCACAGCAGACGGTACATGGTTTGATCAAGCTAGTGTCGTATGTGGTAAGTTACTCTGTGTGTTTTTCTTTGACAATTATATTTATTTGTCATTTGTAAAGAATTGTAAATATATAAACAGTCGGTGTTAACGTTAATGATGTATAATTGTGGTTTACAATGTTTAAGGGATGATAATCATAAAGCATAGAACAACTCATGCACAAAGGGGCAACTGCCGTCGCCTTCCACCATCAAATATGTAAAATGTCACCGCATGCTCTTTACAATGTCGGTGTGCCCAATCAAATATCAAAAGGCATGGCGCGTCCATAAAAATACATTGTACAAAGATAAACTATATGAACTGTGATAGAAACATATTAAAAATTTTCATATTATCATGTTGCTAAAATATGACAATATTTAGACAATTAATGCATAAGACGCATTAAAACATTCTACGATGCAATTTTATTTAAAGTTCCAGTGAAAGGCATTGGGGATCCATGTGCCAATCATTCAGACTGTACGCTAACAGACGGTGTTTGTGTAGGTGGTATGTGCTTTTGTAGTCCGTTGTACCGCTACAAACCAGAAATTAACGATTGCTTCCAAGGTGACTATTTCATTTAACTATTCACCTGTTGAATTTATGTCATATATAAACCATTCTCTTAATTTTTTAACGACGATTTGTAGTTTAATAGTTATAAAGTACTGCCACATTACCAACAGGTCTGCACGCTGTCTTAGCTCTATTCTGGTGGCAAAGACTAGTCAGTCTCGGCTTTAAAAGGATAAGAGGCTACTTGTATCTAATTTTGAAACTTAAAAAATGGTTGGTGGCCTACTTGTTTACATGTTTCAACCAAGGGATGTACGGTTCGAACTGTTGAGTTTTGGTACGTAAATGCTTCCGCAAAATTTGTATGGATTTATGAACATGCAAAGGTATTACACAAATTGGAAAGCATTGAAATTGATTTTAAAACATAATATAAGTGACTAAAATTATGTTTTAATTATTAAAGATAACTTTGAACCTTTAAAGGAGTTTGTTTCTCTAGTTACTCTAGTAAAGATTAAAACTGTCCAAGTAAAGAAATGGAAGGATCAGAACATCATTCGAAGAGTATTTATTAAAAGGTTTTCCCCAGGGTCTCCGTGGCCAAGTTGTAAAAGTCGCGGACTGTTTGCATCTCACTGCTATGGATTCGAATAAATCTTGTGTTGGACTTTCAAGCAGCTTGTGAATGAACGGTCGGTGATTCTACTCCGCTCGTATCGTGTCACGAAGGGTCATCTGAGGTTGGTCTCCTCTAGTTAAACTTGAAAGTGACAGTGACCTTAACACTGTTAACAGTGATATGATATAAATTACATTGTATTACATTGACGGCGTCTTTTACTCATGTTCCTTGAACACTTTTGAATAAAACGACTGATTGGTTTTTGCACTCACGTTTTGCTTTTTAAGTTTTTATGTGTATTCCAGTTTGCACCTCGTTCACTGACACATTTACAACTTTTGCGAATACTGCCGTAAAGGGTTACAATGATATAGGTGTTTCGTACCCTATAACTGATGCAAAACAATGCGAAGATTTATGTAGGACTGATCCTCAATGTCTATCATTCGAGGTGTGGGAAAACTGGGATTATGATCATTCTACCAGCACGTGGATTTATAAAGGCCTTTTATGTAACAGAGCGTCAATAGCGTACTTAAATATACTCGATGCGGATCCAAGCAGTATATCTAATTCGCACAGTATTTCTAACAGAGACTGTATATAATACATACTGATTTATGAATGTTAATTGTCTTGGCTAATTTATGTTACCATGTCGTGACTAGTTTTGACACTTCTCTTTCCTTTAGCTCTGATTTCAATGTACTTTTTTGACTCGCACGTAAATGTATTTCTAAATTGAAAGAAAATGTATAGTTATTAGATTTAGCTTTCAGTCTAAAGTTTAGTCACTTACTACTACTTACTATACATGTATTTGAATATCTAACAATTAGTACATTTAATTTGCCGCCATCATGTGCTATGGTAAATGATAAATGATGCGTGTCGCTTAAATGTCCTACAGTTTTTAAAGCAATGGCGTGTTTATAAAGTAGTCATCACAATGTTCATAATTGTGAATGCTGCAAATTTAAAACAGTTCGCGGATTACCATTCATTATCATAAGTTTGAACGAACGTTCCGACTGTAATGCTGCGTCATGGAAATATCACATTTTGGATTCATATTATAACTGGTTGATTTAAAATGGACTGGAAAGCATTCTCTACCAAGGACATCAGTCGTATGGACAGCGTCATATCTATTTGAAAGCGTTAAAAATCTGATCGTGCAGGTATGAAGTAAGCAGCTTTAAGCAAATTTAAGTGTAGTTATATTACCTTACTTTCTTTGTGTCAAAGATGACTTCGTCTTTAACTCAGAAGCACTGTAAAGATAGCTTTCAAATTCAAATTATGCACTTATGTGTAAGTTTTATAATCAGCATTTTATACCGCATAATTAATTGACAGCTTTGTTTTTATATGTTGTCACAATTTTTAATTATCACGACCTTATAACATAATGAAACTATTTGATATTAACAATTGGCACAGTCGTTTTCATACAATTTATGAATTGTAATGTTCACATTTAGATAAGATGTAGTTGCACCTTATATACATGTTTGTCAGAAATAAAATATGTAATCCTTAAACTTATTGTGTTGTCAATTTTCCATCCTATCGTATAGACACTGTGAAATCATTTACAACAACACCCCCTCCCCGGACCATATCTTCATCTAAGCACATGGATACGTAACTTTGGGCAGCTCAATAACATGATATTTATGGGGAAACAAGTTTAGAATGTATTTATATATCTAAATAAGATGTTTAAAAGTTTCATGAGAATTACATTTAATCTCATTGTCTTTGGAAAATCTCTTTTGATTGTATTGCTTATTAACTTTACATGCATAGTTTATACATTTTGACATGTTATCGTCTGGTGTCCCTAAGGACTGATGATGTTACGTTTCGTTGAAGCAACTGCTTTGGGATGAGGTCCAAAGGCCATAAATTGGCATTATGTTATCTAATATGGGATGGTACTAAACAATATTGTTATGCGCTATTTTATATGGCAATAAGATATATAAAATGGCATTTAGCGATTAAATATTGCAATGAGCTATTTAATATGATAACATGCTGTGCTCTTTTAGATATGACAATATGCTATAAAATAACACTGCGACTATATAGTTTACATACATACTAAAACATGTTTTATAAGTCTTTTAACCTTTCCCCTGATAAAGACGTGTTTTGACGGCTTTTTGTCCCCCAACCCTTTTGAGGCCTCAAACAGTGAAAAAATTTTCTATTTAGGCCCAAACGCTGTTTTTCATTTGAGAAATGTTGTTAAAAAAAGTGACCACTTTTTCGGCGCCGCCCCCATCCAATGTTACATCAGGGGGTTGCCAGAAGGGGGATGTGCCCCCTTCTGTTTGGGGAGTTTGAAGGGGGCGGTAGTCCCTCTAATCGCAAAGAAACTTTTGGACATGTGACAAGCTAAAAATGGCCTCTGGTCGATCTTAGGGTAACTAGTAACCGACACTGAAAAGCCTTTTTTTCTATCTCAAGGCTATGGTCGTATAGTCCACATTTGTGCCAAGTTTTATCAGTATTGAAGCATTTTTTGTAGTTTCATAGCAGTTTGAACTTGTTACAGGAGGCTTTTCAATGAAAACGGCCATTTTTCGCAATATGCTCATGGGGTAAAAGGTTAATTATATTCAGTAAAGGTAATTTTGCTTTTTTAATCATACATGTCCCTTATAACATGTATTAACTTTCTAGCTCTATAAATAAATGTGCTTTGATAATAATAATAATAATAATAATACTAATGATAATAATACTAATACTAATAATAATGATAATAAATACAAAATCAATCAATCAATCATTCAATCAATCAATCAATCAATAGCATATAAAATAAAATAATAATTAATAATAATAGTAAATCTTTTCTTACATTCCATTCCATTGCTAAGCTTTAAACTTTATCTTGGGCTTTTTAAATGCTGAATTTGATTAATTACGCACTATTTTAACTATGTGTGTTTGATTAGAAGCCAAATAATAACCACTGAACGTTACTTTGGATTGAGAATTAGAAATGCTTATGATGAATAATCTCCCTTTAAGCATTCACTATTTTAACTATTTGTGCTTGTTAAGAGATCAAATAAATGATAAACCATGAGTAAGAAATTTTCTTTGGCTTCCAATACTCGTATGTGCAGTAATATATTAATGTGACCGAGTTACTCCGTTTAAAAGGGTTGAAATACCTCAATCTTAGACTTAGACAGGATCACTGCATGACCTTGTATTTAAATCATAACAACGTAAGATTACTTGTTATTAGGCATGCAAGTCTTATTGTGTCGTATTGTGCGATGCACGGGAAACAGTGTGGAACTTTTTATTTAAGCATAATTCCTTATCTTGTGCAGTAACTTCTGCAAAATGGCTTATTTAAAATCTATACACCACAGGGGAAGGATTTAATACAGTATGAATAGAGGGTTTCATTGTTCTTATAAATATGTTCAATCAATAACCATTATTCTTGAAGTGTTCCTCTACTCTTTCTATCTGTATTGATAACGATAATGTGTTTATTTTTGAAAAGATGTTATTTTTTCTAATATAATAATGAAGAAAAAAACTAGTAGACATGTTGTAGATATTAAAGCAAAGGTGATTTAAGTATTATTTAAAGACAACAACAAATATTCCAAACGATGAAAAGATAATGCGGAGTAGCCGGCTGAAGCTGACTAAATCGTTTAATTTCTAACAAGCATAATCGTTGACCTAATCTTCAAAGGCCCAACCAATGAATACTATAATGATAAAATAAAAAAAGGAGATGGGAAAAAGACCGTGGTTTTCTTACAGTTGGTCTTTTGAATTAGACGAAAATGTAGGACTGTTGACACATTTTGTTTAGCAAGCTGTTTATATAAGGTTGAGAAATCTCTAAGACTTTCGCATTCGTATTTACAAGTATCACTGCAGGAAACAGCTGTCTGAAAAGATATTCGAAAAAGCTTACATATTTGACAGCAAAAAAAATATTTTGCATTCAGTTTTTCTTGTAGTAATACTTTCAGACAGACTATCCGCAAAATTTCGATATCTGATTCAATGAAACATTGTCGTAACTTGTTCTTTAAGTGTGTAAGTTTATCAGTGTGTTGCGTCGAACCACATTGACATTCTGAGGCCACCTGCGATTGTTTGGTATTATAACAAGTAGCAGATGATGTATTGTTTTTTTCTTAGATAAGTGGCAATTGATATATTGTTGTTCTATATTTGTCTTTTAACATAAGTGGCTATAGCACTAGGCATATACTGTTATAAATGGTAAGACCGCCTCCGTGGTCGAGGGGTTAGAGTCGATGACTTCTAATCCAGTTACCTCTCTGGCGTGGGTTCGATCTCCGGGAGATGCTTTGGTAGTTTAGCACGGAGGAAGGTAGTCTAGTACTGTTGTAACTCTCCAGGAACGATGATTAGGAAACTACCCGTCTATACTGTTGGTATAAGGAGTAATATGAAACAAACAAACAAGCAAACAAACAAACAATCAAAAAATTATAAATGGTAAAAGGCTAAATGAAAATCTTTGATATTGTTCGTGCATTCAACGTATCATAAAATCTTTGTTGATTGTGTATTAAGGTACCAGTGAAACTTTTGTTGCTATTCAACTTATGGTAGCATGAAAACCTTAGTTGCTTCTTCATTTATGACAGCATGCAAACCCTGTTATGGTAGCCTAAAAACCTCTCTTGCCTATTCATTTTGGGTGGCATCAAAACAAATGTTGTCTGCTCATTAAAACGTAGACGGGGTACTTTTCATCACACAGCAAAAAGATCGGTTGACCATTAACGACTTAACATTAATTCTAAAAAAAATTTATATTCAAAATAATATGGAAATGCTGTTGGTTGTATTGCTCAATGACAAACAGAGGTGCTGTAGCTTTTACTGCATCATATTTTGACAGTTGTTTGTTTCCTTCTAATTCTTTTTAAAGGTTTAAGACCTGATGTTCTGTGGAGATACACAGGTACCCAATTGTGCCTATAATAATTTATGTAGCCTCAGGTATTCCACCATCAGTGAGCTTGAAAAAATAAACAGTACATGAATTAATACTGCCGGTTGGAGTTTCATTTTCTAAACATTTTCCTTACGCGATAAATTAACAGTTGTTTGACATAGATTTTAGGGATGGTTTGTTATATGTCGCGAATACATCAATTGGTATACATGTATATTGTACTAGTAACGAAGAATACTAATATACAAAACATGTGTACATCAAGCAATAGAAGTGTCATATTATGCCATCAGTCGCAAATATATTCGATTTTTACCTGTCATTTCGGGGTAAAACGTCATATTTCGAAGAAGGAACACAGAAAAGAGAACATACAGAACGAATCGCTATGGCGGTTGATCCAAGAAGAAAGTCTAGACATTTAAAAATTTGAATGTCATACGACGTATGCTTATACAACGTTAAAGTAAAGACATGTTAGGTCATGAAGTAAATTTGTTCATATCCGCTAGCATACTGTATTTAAGCGCAGTCATTTTAAAATTTTTTATTCAAATAAGAATCGGCGTACGTTTCGTTATTTACAAAATTTCTGTTTTTTTTTCATATTAAGGAAAAATTTTAACGAACAATAGCAGTATTTGATTATTGACTAGGAAGAAAATACGATTGCACCTTCTGACTTTGTTCACATAAAAAAACGAAAGAAAATAAAACGTGGTTTTTGTCCATGTTATTTGTAAGTTTGTTAAATATCAATCGAAGTTATTGCCATTTGCAGCACTTTATTTCAATCACAAAAATAAAATGTTCCCATTTAAAGAAAATATTATATCTATATGATATTAAATATCTGCACTTTAAGGTAACAACTTGGAAAAGGGAATGTACTTGAACAATATTGCTCCATCTACGCAGTCGCTGTAAGAGCATATCTGCACATATCGGTAGCTAAAGAAAATTGCCTGCAAATTGCGTCCTTGATATTACATCATATATGCTATATGATAATGTAAAAGAAACAAGTTTGTCTTGTGGTATTAATTTCCAACGAATAAAGACATTAAAGAGAAGACACGGCGTTTTTTAGTTTAACAATATAGGTTTATCTAAAGTTACAATTATAAAAGTTGCAAAGATACAGATGCTAACTGATTGAATATTTTAACTTCTTACGTTTTACAAAAATAGTGTACAAGAATATATACTAAAACAGTTTGTTATTCCGTAATTCAGCTATATTTTCTTATTTCTTAGTTCATGGTAGGATAAAGAGTTGTCGAAAATTAGTCATTCGATTGATACAAAGTTAACATTTGCATAAATTTTGTGAACCATCTGTTTATATTGCTTGTTTTTTTTATATTTTGTCAATTATATTATATCGCATATTTGCCCCAAAAATTGCTGCCATATTAGGCAAGGCATGTTATATTGCAACAATAATAAAAATATCTATTGGATATTTTGTAAACCAACACTTTTTCAATTATGAGCGATTTTTCACAATTAGAATAAT